GAGTTCGCTTTCGATTAAATAAAGCATACGCGTTTAGGGGTAAGTGATTAAGGAAGAGACTGATATATAGATATTAATGTATTTTTATAATTTATAGCCAATCGGAGATGTAGAAGTGTGCTATTAATTTCTTACGGGACGGTCCCACAGCTGAGACATATAAAAAAAACTTATATTAACGGGGAACGGAAGCTCCATCACTATAATTGTAAAAAAACCATCTACATCTCCGTCTCGGAGAGCTTTACTCCAACATTAAACTGACACGCTGAGATATAACTGCAGCGTCGTATTCACTGCGCACCGAACGTTCTTCGGAAAACCTGTGTGTTATAATGACTAGCTTACTATGCTCAAGACACATAATGATATGTTTGTCCATGAACGATGATCGTCCAAAGACACATTGGCGACAGCTTTTTTAATGTCAATAGAGATAATACCATTGAAAACCACTGGCAAGGACAATTAAAGATAATAATTGCATGGAGGGAAATATAGCGCAGCGCTTACACACAGTGGTTGAGGGTATGGCGTTGAACGTCATAATTGTGTACATGCGAAATACACTGGTCGGCTGCATCGGTACTTGCTGATGACGTCAAATGTGTCTTTTTATTCAAATTCAGATATTTCCATTCACTAAATCTTTTTATTTATTAGACGTTCCTATTCTAATAAATTGCTACGTATGAATGATATATCCATTTAATTTTAATAGCCACAGCCGTTAATTGTTTACCCATTCGTTCTGTTATTAGTTCATTCGTGCATGGAGACAGTGAACAAATTATAGGTAGAGTTTCTCAAGACCTCAATTAGAGATGCAGATTTGACAATGTAACTGAATACAAAAAGCTAATTCACGTTAATAGATTAAGGGTAATTAGACGTTTGTGTTGAAAACTTGACATGACGCAGCACCGCCTCAATGAGCTGTAGGGGAATCCCCCTTTCAGCCAGCGATTTTCTTATTGGTTCATATTTAAGCGAGGCACCTGGCAGATCACGTGGTGAAAGGCGGGTGCAGAGAAATGTCACGGAGCCCCGATCTATAACCTGGTTGTCGATTTCATAGCGTCTCGAGAAACACGTTCAGCCATGTGTACACTGTAGAAATATTTTGCGTTATACATTTATATGACTATTTCCATTTCAGTATTAAACATGTATTTATTTTAATAAACAATTGCATCCAATTACAAAAGTGCATTTTAAACAATGCATTTATAATAAATTTCTAGAGATCAGCACCGTGAATGGTATTTCCTATAAAATGTGAATCATTTGGATACATACATACATACATACATACATACATACATACATACATACATACCTACACACACACACACACACACACACACACACACACACACACACACACACACACACACACACACATATATATATATATATATATATATATATATATATATATATATATATATGCCTTTGCCTATTTGTATTTGAGAAACTATTGCTTTAGCAACTCATTTATCAATATCAGTTCATTCGTTCAGATTAACACTGATCACACTTTTGACTGATCGCGATGTCACAGTTTTATTTGTTCATATATTGCTGGCTTATACGTTTTCCTCGATGTCATTGCGCTGCAACAGCTTTATGTGGAGTCAAACGGATACTGTTTTTAAGGCCCGGGAGCTGTGGGTAGTGGAAAGGTTTGATCATTCGTTCGTCACACCGATGTCGCGGGTTCGATTCCCAACATGGGTACAGGAGTGAGACCAGTTATTGTTGTACACTTGATTATGCTGGAATATTGTTAGAAGCGGCTTCAAACCAACTCAACCACTTTAACGACCAATATTTGCTTTGTATCACTTTACAAATGTATAGAAAATGGACCCCGTTTCATAAAGCCTTCAAAGCGGTAAGTCTGTGTTAAAAGTATTTGCTGCGATAGTCGTTGAACAATAAGACCCCAGATAAAAAGCCACGAATGTGCAATATATCACAGTGACTACGATTACAAACATTGTACATATTAATGCAATCTCTATATTTTTGAAACGTGTTTTGATCTTTATCAAAAAAAGCTTGCGATTCCAAATTTATGGCAGTTGGCATTGTGGCTCTCGACAAACAAATTACTTCTATTGCCAGGGTGTGTATTTAATTCTCACGGGGGATAGGATATGTTTGACTAAGTACTTGACGACTGACGCATACACTCATTTGATGTATATTGATGTTGAGTTCACTTCCCGGTACGTGCACGTATTCAAACATATAAGACATTAGTTCCAGTATATAGTGTTAAGTGTAGCTGCCCGTGGTACCAAGTACTAAGATGTCACCCTGACGTAATGCATCAGTGACAAGGGGGCAATGCTTTAATGCCATGTTCACTGATTGGATGATGGTGTCACGTTCACTCTCCGCTCAGCCCACTGAGGCCATGTAATATACATAAGTATTCATCATGTTCAAGGACTAATGAGACGTACCCGGAAGACTGGATGCGTGGATACTTTTCTCTGAATGTGATAAACTAGAGTAACCTGGTAGATGGTAAGGAAAATATATCATCATATAGTTACAGAGCGCTGTGAGTCGAAATCCGACAGTTCTGTCGCGTGGGTCATGCCAAGTGCTTGGTTCTTTGGTGAGGCTAAATGTCGGCCCTTGAAATGTAACCAGATCATGATTTCCTAATTTCAATGTCCATACTCTCCTGATTTCAACCCCTTTTCTTTCCTGCTCTTAATCTCCCCTCTCCTGATCTCAACCTCCTTCTCTCCTGATCTCAATCTCCTTCTTTCCTGATCTCAATCTCCTTCTCTCCTGATCTCAATCTCCTTCTCTCCTGATCTCAATCTCCCTTCTCCTGATCTCAATCTCCTTCCCTCCTGATCTTAGTCTCCTTCTCTCCCGATCTCAGTCTCCTTCTCTCCCGATCACAAACTCCTTCTTTCCTGACCTCAATGTCTCTTCGTTTCTGATCTCAATCTCCCTTCTCTCCTGATCTCAATCTCCCTTCTCCTGATCTCAATCTCCTTCCCTCCTGATCTTAGTCTCCTTCTCTCCCGATCTCAGTCTCCTTCTCTCCCGATCTCAGTCTCCTTCTTTCCTGACCTCAATGTCTCTTCGTTTCTGATCTCAATCTCCTTCTCTCCTGATCTCAATCGCCCTTCTTTCCTGATCTCAATCCCCTTCTTTCTGATCTCTATCTCTTTCTTTCCTGATCTCAAGCTCTATTCTTTCCTGATCTCAATTTCTCTTTGTTCCTGAACTCAATCCCTCTTCGTTTCTGATCTTAATCTCCCTCATATCCTGCTCTCAATATCTCTTCTTTCTTAATCTCCATTTCCCTTCTTTCCTGAACTCAATCTTCCTTCTTTCCCGATCTCAATCTCTCTTCTCACCTGATCTCAATCTCTCTTCTCACCTGATCTCAATCACCCTTCTCTCCTGATCTCAATCTTCCTTCTCTCCCGATCTAAAACTTCTTCTTTCCTGACCGCAATCTCTCTTCGTTTCTGATCTCGATCTCCTTCTCTCCAGATCTCAATCTCCTTTCTCTCTACACCTCAATCTCTCTTCGTTTATGATCTCAATCTCCTTCTCTCCTGATTTCAATCTTCCTTCTTTCCTGATCTCAATCTCCTCTCCTGACTTAAATCTCTCTTCGTTTCTGATCTCAATCTCCCTTCCTTCCTGAACTCAATCTTCCTTCTCTCCTGATCTCAATCACCCTCGTATCCCGCTCTCAATCTCTCTTCGTTTCTGATCTCAATCTCTCTTCTTTCCTGCTCTCAATCTCCTTCTCTCCTGATTTCAATCTCTCTTCATTTCTGATCTCAATCTCCCTTCTTTCCTGATCTCAATCTCCTCTCCTGACCTTAATCTCTCTTCGTTTCTTATCTCAATCTTCTTCCCTCCTGATCTCTTCGTTTCTGATCTCAATCTCCCTTCTCTCCTGATCTCAATCTCCCTTCTCTCCTGATCTCAATATCCTTCTTTCCTGTTTCAATCTTCCTTCTTTCCTGATCTCAATCTCCTCTCCCGACCTTAGTCTCTCTTCATTTCTGATCTCAATCTCCCTTCTCTCCTGAACTCAACCTCCCTTCTCTGATGAACTCAATCTCCCTTCTTTCCTGATCTCAATCTCCTTCTCGCCTGACCTTACTCTCTCTTCTTTCCTTATCACATGCTCTCTTCTCTCCGGGTTTAATACTCTCTTTTTTCTCCAGATCTAATGTCCCAATGTCTACACTGATTGGCGTGATTGACAACATGGATTTGGGGTGATCGTCTACATGGATTGGGAATGTTTGTAATATGCATGTAATATGCATGTAGACAATCAATCAAATCCATGTAGACAATCATCCCAATCCATGTAGACAATCATCCCAATCCATGTAGACAATCACCCCAGTGCATGTAGACAATCACCCCAATCCATGTAGACAATCATCCCAATCCATGTAGACAATCACCCCAGTGCATGTAGACAATCATCCCAATCCATGTAGACAATCATCCCAATCCATGTAGACAATCATCCCAATCCATGTAGACAATCACCCCAGTGCATGTAGACAATCATCCCAATCCATGTAGACAATCATCCCAATCCATGTAGACAATCACCCCAATCCATGTAGACAATCACCCCAGTGCATGTAGACAATCATCCCAATCCATGTAGACAATCACCCCAGTGCATGTAGACAATCACCCCAGTGCATGTAGACAATCATCCCAATCCATGTATACAATCACCCTAATGCATGTAGACAAACAACCAATGCATATCGACAAACATGTCCAATAGACAAAGACAACCATGCCAATGCATGTAGATATTCAACCCCAGTGCAGGTAGACAATAGCCACAACGACAATATTTGCCAATATTAACAACAGTTGAAAGAATATATAGTTTGATTTCTGATATGTGTGAGATGTAATGCGCGTACTCTGCCACAGAACCACATAATAAGACTTGACACAACACAGAACAAATATTATTAGTTTATGTGTATTTATTTTTAGCTTTCATACCGTATGACATCAGGTAGAAATAATTTACAATGTTCAATTTATGTGAATTCGGAAACTATGTACATAATAGTATACAAAGCGTCATCGATAAAGTATGACTTGTCTCCGAATTACCCTCCGAAACAGATTCTCTTGGGCGTAAAAGGTAAACTAGCGGTGACAATTATCTATATATGGATCACTGAAAATCAGTGATGAAACCAGTGGTCGCGAAAAGACAATAAAAGTCAGAGCAATTTGGGCATGCTATTTCGATATTACTGACTGTGAGGTGAAACAAGTCGCTCACTTTATTTATCAGTCAGTAATTACCGTTGTATATTTAGTTAAATTATTATAAAATAATAGCCAACTATTGATGAAATAAGATTTCTTTTAACATATGATAACTGGTTACTTCTTGACATCTTAAATGAGATCTCCCTTACGATTGAAGAGACAGCACTGGCAATGACATCTTAAATGAGATCTCCCTTACGATTGAAGAGACAGCACTGGCAATGACATCTTAAATGAGATCTCCCTTACGATTGAAGAGGCAGCACTAGCAATGACATCTTAAATGAGATCTCCCTTAAGACGGGGCGAGACAGCACTGGCAATGACATCTTAAATGAGATCTCCCTTAAGACGGGGTGAGACAGCACTGGCAATGACATCTTAAATGAGATCTCCCTTAAGACGGGGCGAGACAGCACTGGCAATGACATCTTAAATGAGATCTCCCTTAAGACGGGACGAGACAGCACTGGCAATGACATCTTAAATGAGATCTCCCTTAAGACGGGGTGAGACAGCACTGGCAATGACATCTTAAATGAGATCTCCCTTAAGACGGGGTGAGACAGCACTGGCAATGACATCTTAAATGAGATCTCCCTTAAGACGGGGCGAGACAGCACTGGCAATGACATCTTAAATGAGATCTCCCTTAAGACGGGGTGAGACAGCACTGGCAATGACATCTTAAATGAGATCTCCCTTAAGACGGGGTGAGACAGCACTGGCAATGACATCTTAAATGAGATCTCCCTTAAGACGGGGCGAGACAGCACTGGCAATGACATCTTAAATGAGATCTCCCTTAAGACGGGGTGAGACAGCACTGGCAATGACATCTTAAATGAGATCTCCCTTAAGACGGGGTGAGACAGCACTGGCAATGGCATCTTAAATGAGATCTCCCTTAAGACGGGGTGAGACAGCACTGGCAATGACATCTTAAATGAGATCTCCCTTAAGACGGGGTGAGACAGCACTACCGACCACCACCATCTCCACATTTTATTATTTTATATTATCTGCGACCCGGTATTTTGGGACCGGTGTTTATCGGAGCATTCTACTGCCTGAGGTGAAGTTTAGATATGAGAAGAATTGTGAGTTCATCATCTGTGCTGCGCATGTCGGCACAGAGGATGCTACTCACACTGTCCGCATCCACGACCCTGTAGTAAAACATCCAACCAACAGCTGCAAGGCGACTCTCCTTTATCACTGGACATCATAGTGAGTGAGTGGGTATGTTTTTACGCCGCTTTTAGCAATATTCCAGCAATATCACGGCGGGGGATACCAGAAATGGGCTTCACACATTGTACCCATGTCGGGAATCGAATCCGGGTCTTCGGCGTGACGATCGAACGCTTTAACCGCTAGGCTACCCGACCGCCCCCTGGACATCATAACTTACATTAAAACATAGAATGTGCAGAAAGGAAACAAAACGACAACCATTATTTACAAAACCAACATCTCAATTTGCATACTTATATAAACGAAAAAAAGGTGAAACTAGTGCCTACATCATATCAACATCAGACACTCGGTGAACATTGTTTATATTGTGTGCATCATGTCAACATGCAGACACTCGGTGCACATTGTTTATATTGTGTGCATCATGTCAACATCAGACACTCGGTTAACATTGTTTATATTGCGTGCATCATGTCAACAGCAGACACTCGGTGAACATTGTTTATATTGTGTGCATCATGTCAACATCAGACACTCGGTTAACATTGTTTATATTGCGTGCATCATGTCAACAGCAGACACTCGGTGAACATTGTTTATATTGTGTGCATCATGTCAACATGCAGACACTCGGTGAACATTGTTTATATTGCGTGCATCATGTCAACATGAGACACTCGGTGAACATTGTTTATATTGCGTGCATCATGTCAACATCAGACACTCGGTGAACATTGTTTATATTGCGTGCATCATGTCAACAGCAGACACTCGGTGAACATTGTTTATATTGTGTGCATCATGTCAACATCAGACACTCGGTTAACATTGTTTATATTGCGTGCATCATGTCAACAGCAGACACTCGGTGAACATTGTTTATATTGTGTGCATCATGTCAACATGCAGACACTCGGTGAACATTGTTTATATTGTGTGCATCATGTCAACATCAGACACTCGGTGAACATTGTTTATATTGCGTGCATCATGTCAACATCAGACACTCGGTGAACATTGTTTATATTGTGTGCATCATGTCAACAGCAGACACTCGGTGAACATAGTGCATAGCGCCTGCATGTCAACAGCACGACAATCAGTTAACATAGTACATAGTGCCGGTATGTCAACCCCAGACAATGAGTTAACATAGTACATAGTGCCGGTATGTCAACAGCAGACAATCAGTTAACATAGTACATAGTGCCGGTATGTCAACCCCAGACAAATAGTTGACACAGTATATAGTGCCTGCATTAAGACATCTGCAGGCAATCAAATGACCAAGTACAACAGCGGACACTCGGTGAACTGATTATGACTGAGCAATGAATAAGAATTCCGTCAAGGCAAGGTCATACTGTACATACAGCATTTTCCTGATTTCAAATTTTGTCAGACTAGTTGTGTGACTTGCATCGTATCCGAACTGCCACGAGAGAGGGTTTTAAACACCGCTTTTAGCAATATTCCAGCAATATCGCGGCGGGGAACACAAGAAATACTGAGCTACAGCACTTAATGCAGTTAATGTCTCTGTATTGCATTGTTGTCTACCAGTAGGACAATGTATTGCATTGTTGTCTACCAGTAGGACAAGCACATTACATGAATTCATGACCAATGTAGTTATGAAACAATGAATCAATACACACATTACCGCGCCGCACTGCGTGCTCAAGCTGCACAGTTATTCTGGCCCATCCTTGATATATTTTCCCTAGGGTTACCGTTGGGTTCAGATTCAGTTGAGGGCCGAGGACCACCACTATCACACTAATAGATCGTTGCTTTAGTACCCATCTAGGTGTAGTGTTCTTTCTTACAACTGTTTTCACATCCTTCAGATTTGCAATTGTCGCATCGCCTACAAGCGATTTAAGCATCTCTATGATCATCACAAGGGTCAATTTGGTTATTGTTGGGTTCAGATTCTGTTGAGGACTGAGAAGATTGGCGGCTATCACGCCTATACATAGCGGCTTTTATTTTCCGTCTAGACGTATCGTTCCTTCTGACAATTGTTGTCGCATTCTTCAGATTTGCAATTGTCGCATCACCCACGAGAGATTTGAGCATCTCTCTAATTGTCAAAAGGGGCAGGCGTAACCCTTGACCCGGAAGTATACATCCTCGGAGAAGATCAGAAAGAGCCCCTGAAACTTCCAGATCCCGCAGCTTTAGCATACTGGAAGGATGAACTTCAGCCATGAAACGAGACAATACCCACGTTCGTTGTTCTTCATAAGGCCTCCGTTGAAGAAGCAGCTCGTACACGAAAGTCCCGAATCCATAGATATCAGCATCTGTGTCATAGATGCCGCCTTTTAGAACTCTAGGACTCAGACAAGTAAAGTCTGCAGCTTCTACTGAGTCAGCGTCAGCTGGGAACTTGCACTTCCTTGGCAGGCACATGTTGCACAGTTTCACATGCCCATTATTGTCAATCTAGAACAAGAAGTTTTACAGAGAGTGAACTACAGTTACATCTCATGGGAGAGTAAAATAATAAAATGAATTTGAATCAGCTACCACCATAGTCTGAACTAAAAGTTTGAATTGCCAGAGTTTGAACTAAAAGTTAAATAACCAGAGTCTGAACTAAATGTTGCAATTACAAGAGTCTGAACTAAAACTTTGAACGACCAGAGTATGAACTAAAAGTGTGAATTACCAGAGTCTGATCTGAACATTTCAACTACCAGAGTCCTAACTGCTTTATATGACACAGGTAATAGTGTGAACTGCTAGATGGTAAACTAAAAGTAGACCTTAACACACTAAACATTCATTCAGACCTTCCTACATGCCTGTCTATGGAAAAGAATATATCTTTACCCAAGAATGACTTTATGAATTCATCAAGAATCATCAAGAATCATCAAGAAGATACAAATCATCAGGGGTCACTTGCACCAAGCAATCTTAGCACTAAGATGATCGTAACTCCCATACTTTAACATCGGCTTACGATAGTCTTAGCGCTAAGATCGCTTCGTGCAAGTGGGCCCAGAAAGAGCACCATTAGTACTTACAACAACGGTATCCAGGGAGAGCTCCATGTGCACGAGACCATCTTTGTGGATGGCTTCAAGTCCGTTTATAAGTTCATTCAGCATCCGCGGGACTACCTCCTTCACCCTAGTCGTTGAGCGTCTCAGGTAGCGACGTGCTGATGTCAGATTGTCCTCAAAGATGAACGTTGTTATGTTGTCAGTGCGTGTCATCCCCAGGAATGTGGCAACAGAAGAGTGTTCCAGGCACCTGGGTAGAGGTAGAAGATATGGAAGGTGGTACAATAAATGCAGTTGGTAAGGCTGGGATGGTTCATACCATGTACAGTTAGGTAATACAAGTTGATATTTTGGTGTATAATTCGGAATATCCCTGTCACGTTGAGTAGTAGTAGTATATATATGCGTATACTGAAACAGGCTAATCACACAAAAGGTGTTTGGCAACTCATTTCTTAGTCCATGAGTGAGTGCGTATGGTTTTAATTCGCTTTATCACGGCGGGGGACACCAGAAATGGGCTTCACACATTGCACCCTTGTGGGGGATCGAACCCGGGTCTTCGGCGTGACGAGCGAACGCTTTAACCACTAGGCTACCCGACAGCCCCTCTTAGTCCATGTAATATGAATTATCTTTAACCCCTTAATGAAATTGTCTTATGATACTGAGTAGGTTCGCCCCGCCGAATTCACGAAATAAAAGTTTAACGTATATAGATAGTTCTTGTTGTTTTATTATATATATTGTATGAATATTGGTAGAGAAAACATGTTTTCGAGAAAACAATCAGGAAGAATAATAGCACAGATTAGAGATACTCACCTTAATTTGGCGATTTCTTTGAACAGATGCTCATCTTTTAGTGGGGTAATGTAGCGTTTAGCCATGACTTGGATCTTGTTATTGTCAGTATTGAGCTCTGCTGCTTGCACAACTGTCCACAGACCCGTGGCTGCAGCCTTCTTTGAGATCTGATCTGAACCAGAAGTTCTGAGGTAAAAATTCACCTGAGTTGAAGAGGTCGCTCCCAGGTCTTCTATGTGTAACAAGATCTCATCTGAGGTGAAGTCCTTGACGTGGAGGTAGCCAAATCCCCTCAGTAGTTCCTTCACGGGTTCCAACAGCTCCATTGTTTTCTTCAGATGGGTCTTGTCCTCTCTAGCTTCCTTTCTGAACTGAATAATCTCCTTCATCAATGTTTCGTTTGCGTTGATGAAGTTGGGGATGTTCAAGCTGATGGTGTTGATTTTCTGATGAATCCTGTCCGTGTACCTCGATAAAAATCTTGTGACGAATTCGTCATCATCTTTGACAGTCATGATTATCTTTTCACACCTTGCCTCCATGTAGTGGTTGGGTTTTTCCCTATACAAAGCCATAGCACGCTTTAGCGCCATTTTGACCATTTTGCCAACAATAGGTGAAATCATCCTAGAAGCAAACGCTCGTGGGTTTACAGCACCCGTGCTTCTTCCTCTTTCAGCGATCCCTACCAGTCGCCGAACAATGCTGCTCTTCTTTCGTTTATTCTTGAGTCGTTCTATCAGTACGTTGCTGTCTTCATCGCTGTCTGTTGAGCCAGTTGTACCAGATGAGCGTAGGGTATCCGATATTTCGCTCATGTTATTGTCAAGTAAACTTAGACGAAGTTTGACTTGAAACATCACGTTGGTGTACATTTCTTGAACAAATGTCTGACACTCTTCTGTGTCATCAAACAATTTATAAATCCTATTCAAAATCACACTGTCTATCAGTTCCTTCTGTTTTTCCCAGCCGTCAACCGAGAGAGGTGCCTCCGGGAGATCTTGACGATTCCACTGTAGTTGTCTTTTGAAACGATCAGAAACAAGGATCCTTCTAAATTGCAGTCCAAGGCCCTTGGCAGCTAAATCCACTTGCTCTCTGAGTTGGGCGATTGTTTCAGATGCTTGAGCATTTAATGCTGCCAGTTGTTGTCTTGCTTGGACGAACTTCTCATCGTGTTCCTTTTCAGTCATCGTGATCTGGGAGAGGATTGTCTTCAAGTATATCGTGGATGACCTCATCACTTCTTTCAGCCAGCTACAAAAGAAAGCAAAAATCTACTAAATTGTCTTATTATGTTTACCTTCATGTTTTCAGTTATGCAAATTTAGGGGGCGGTCGGGTAGCCTAGTGGTTAAAGCGTTCGCTCGTCACGCCGAAGACCCGGGTTCCATTCCCGACATGGGTACAATGTGTGAAGCCTATTTCTGGTGTCCCCCGCCGTGATATTGCTGGAATATTGCTAAAAGCGACGTAAAACCATACTCACTCACTCACAATACAAATTTAGGCAGAATGAATTCATAAAAATCGTATGACCCTACCAACCACATTAATACTGCATCTGTTATTATTATTATTGTTGCTTGTTTGTTTGTTGTTTAACGCCGCACTCAGCAATATTCCAGCTTTATGACAGCGGTCTGTAAATAATCGAGTCTGGACCAGACAATCCAGTGATTGATTTCATGAGCATCGATCCATGCAATTGGGATCGATGACATGTATCAACCAAGTCAGCGAGCATGACCACCCGATCCCGTTGGTCGCCTCTTACGACAAGCATAGTCGCCTTTTACGGCAAGCATGGGTTGCTGAAGACCTATTCTACCCCGGATCTTCAAGGGTAGCCTCTGTTATTAAGAACAGGTATTCTTATATTCCTTTGATTAGGTAATTTGGTGCTTTTGCGGTATCGTATCCTTACAGAGTGGGACGTTGTCCATATTATTAATGACTTGTTTGGCTGGTCAAGACTCAATTATTTACAGGCTGTCGTCGCTGGAATGTTGATGACTGCAGATTAAAATAACGAACGAAGAAGCATTCAAAAGAATATTGTTAAGCCGGCTTAAATCATACTCACTCATAATACTCTTTGTGTCTTCGCTTTAAATAACATATACTAGGTTTCAATAATATTTAGATTTGGTTTAGATTCAGATGTTGATACAGAACAAATCTATAAACGTGTCTTACCCATATGACTTTTTTATTGCATCTTGTTGGGCGAGATGAAATAGTCCATTAAGGGAGGTGAGAAGAGCATGCAGATCAGCAGTGATGTATTCTTTGTCCACGCTGAGGCTTTTCTCGGCCCTGGTTGAGGATATAAAGCTGACTTGGTTGTCCTGCAGATCTGGCCAGATGTCATTCAGTTTCTCTAAGGCGTTATTTCTGACATCAGACTTGCAACTATCCTCGATCAGGTCCCAGCGGTTGCAGACAAACAGAGCAGCTCTTGGGTTGAATGAATGTAACGTGCTTCGTCCCTTATTGTGCTCAAGGAAGGTCTTTAAGAACCGGACCAGCTGTACGATACGAATGAGAGAGTGTCAGTTTACAATTACACGAAAATCCGGTAATCCGGACTGTACCATCATAAATGAAATCGTTCGGTTTAAAGAGGCATGTGTATGTGGCACTGTCACATTTACTGAACATAAGCGTCCCGATTTGCGGGGTTTCCGGATTAACGGGGTCTCACTGTATATTAGGAACTGAGTACTAGGAAAAACAACAAGATACCTATTTGGACCCCGTCAATTCTTTGCAGCTTCGCCTGTCAAGAAACCCCAAGCACACTACTTCCTGATCAAATTCGATGTATTCCTAAGTCTTAGCGTGGAAGCCAGAACCTTCAAATTCTGCTTGTTTGGACTGTCATTTTAAAGGGTAACTTTTTAACCGGAACACTTACTGTTATAAAAAACTGAGTGGTCCCGACGGACATTTTCCCGAACAAACAACGCACAGTATGGGTCCCATGTATAATAGACTCAGTTTCACATCTATTTCATCTAATATTTTGATCTTATAAGTTAATCGTAAAAAAACATATTAACAAAAGAGTGAGTGAGTTGGGTTTCACGCCGCTTTGAACCGTATTTCAGTTTGATCACGACGTATACGCTTGATGTGGGAGGAAAGCCTAAAGTGAGGTCTTAGACGTTTGCTCCTTGGTGAAATTTATGAACATGGCCAGCCCTCCTATCTGTTTGAATAAAATTAAGCATTATCGTAATTAATATAAGCAGTGCGAAGAAATTGTTTTAAAGGGAAATAAATGCAGAAACTATCGTCGTAACAGCGGTTCGCATTGGAATCACCAAACAACCCCTTTTGGAACCCAAAGCATCGGTAACCGAACACGTTCGGTCAAATCCGCCAACTTCCGCATTTCACCGAACTGCAACAACATTTACACTCGTCACAGCGCGCGATACATGGCTGACAGTAGCAGAGATGAGAAACGGGGAAGTGTTTTTATCAACGCTTGTTGCCGGAGAATGTGCTTCTAATCAGTATGTTAATGTGCATTGAATGGAAATTATAATTTGATTATAAAACCGATATGGATTTTTTTTCATTTTCAGCAATATGGTATTTTGTATGCATTATCGATGCATTTTGATGGGAGTCGAATGCAAAGGTTATCCGTCATAGAGTAGATAAATGATTTCAGCCATAATTTCATTCACTGTTTCCGTCTTAATGCTAGATCTAGTTTTGCCCAATAACTGTTGACAAAAACAGTGCTTACAAAACATTCTGTCAGTCAATGTCAAAAGTGTGCAATACGCTGTCGCTGATTGGCTGACTCGGCTGTATGTAAACAATAATATTAATGTATATGTCTCTTATTAGCATTAACCACTTAAAGATAACGATGGGTGTGTTTTGTGTTGTCCAGTTGTCCATCTTCCCCTGACCATATAATATAAGTTTCCACCCCAATCTCATTAAAATCAGATCTAAGTTCACGCTGCCGCTAAACAAAGATCTGAGGACATCCCATTACGGGTCACGTCAGAACGACCTTTCATCCGACCAATCAAAGCGTCGCTTACCAGATTGAGATTTGTGAGTGAGTACGGTTTTAGCAATATTCCAGCAATATCACACCAGAAATGGGCTTCACACATTGTACCCATGTCGGGAATCGAACCCGGGTCTTCGGCGTCCCGAGCGAACGCTTTAACCACTAGGCTACCCGACCGCCCCAAATGAGATTGGTTTCCACCCTTGCCGACTTGCCGACTTGCCGACTCCATGCTTGGTCACATCAAAATCGCGTAACGAAATCGACATTCGGTTCACACAACATGGCGACTACCGTGCAGATTTCGGTCGACTGCTGGATTTGCAAAGCATGTGTACCGTCAACTGGACGTCGACAGCTATTTTCCAAATCTTTTCATGTTTGTAATCCAGGTGCTCAAGTGAGTTGATTACTTCGCAAGGTAAGACCCTATTTTAACAATAAAGATCTTGATTATTAATTCGACCTTCTTCACCGGGCGCCGCCATTTTAAAGCAAATTCAAATGATATGAGAGGTTGAAACTGAATGGTCAATAGGAGGGACATAGAAGGGACACAACTCGTAATCGCTACCGGTGGCGCTACGAACGAGCCACGAAATTGGAGCCAAGTTCGGCAAGGGTGAAAACTTGACTTTTATCGTAAGTTAACTTCCTTGCCACGGGAAGATGACAGTTGCCAAGATCACTGTGATCTGGTGGGCGGAGGGGCAAGATATCGGACCACTGCCGATTTATCTGCGATTATATGTTTCCCACTTTAGATAACACATTCTGATGCCTGTGAATGGATTCACAGATGTTAGCTTTATAGTCAAAACATACAGTCAATATAAACCAAAAGAAATTACTTTGCTTGTCGATTATTTTTTTGTCACCGCCATTTCTCGCACGCTGTATTTTTTTTTTTAGAAAAGGTGTTGTCAATTAACTAGGATCAGCTTTTGACGGATACAGCCGACGCTATTCCGCCTCATTTGACAGAGTTCCCGATAGCGGCTGTGCACGCATTCCGCAACCGACCGCTATCAAATCCGATAGCGTTTCTTTTCGTTCGGATAGCAAATGCATTCGGTGCCAATGCGGAAGCTTACTAACACGACTTATTTTTAAAATAATCCAACGCTTTTGATTCAAATAAATAGGAGGGCCTGATGGGGTATAACGCTGACAACCTAGAAACATAATCAGGGCGGATTCGAACCCACGATCTTAGGTTCCTGGTATGTTAAGGGACGCAACTCTGCACTGAGAATTGCAACCGCTTAGAAAACAAAATGAAAGAATAATCTGGTACGGACTGAGGATTCGGAAGGCTTACCCTGTCCTCTTGCACTCCCCCCGCGCTGTCCGTCTTGACCACGTACACAAAAGCAGCAATCCGTCCCTGGGTGACGAAATCTCGGACGAGTTTCTCCATCGCCTCATACTCTCCGAATCCAGGTGTGTCAATGATGGTAACGCCAGTCTGCAAGGAGAAATACATACTTTTGATTCTACCATCAAACTAATACCAGAGTACTATAAAACTCCAACCTCCAACAACGAAAGCAATAATTAAAAAAAACCCGGACAAATGCAGATATGACTACGGAATAACGGAAGACTTAGAACACAAGGCACATCCATTCCATCAAACTAATACAACTCGAACCTCCAATGAGCAACTAAAGCAAAAATAAAAACGACGGCCACACTCCGACATGCCTTGAGAATAACGCAACACCTAGATCATGTCACATTCATACATACCTTGAGAATAACGCAACACCTAGACCATAAGTCACATTCATACATACCTTGAGAATAACGCAACACCTAGATCATATCACATTCATGCATACCTTGAGAATAATGCAACACCTAGACCATAAGTCACATTCATACATACCTTGAGAATAATGCAACACCTAGACCATAAGTCACATTCATACATACCTTGAGAATAATGCAACACCTAGACCATAAGTCACATTCATACATACCTTGAGAATAACGCAACACGTAGACCATAAGTCACATTCCCACATGCCTTGAGAATAATGCAACACCTAGACCATAAGTCACATTCATCCATACCTTGAGAATAATGCAACACCTAGACCATAAGTCACATTCCGACATGCCTTGAGAATAATGCAACACCTAGACCATAAGTCACCTTCATACATACCTTGAGAATAACGCAACACCTGGACCATAAGTCACATTCATACATACCTTGAGAATAATGCAACACCTAGACCATAAGTCACATTCATCCATACCTTGAGAATAATGCAACACCTAGACCATAAGTCACATTCATACATACCTTGAGAATAATACAACACCTAGACCATAAGTCACATTCATAAATGCCTTGAGAATAATGCAACATCTAGACCATAAGTCACATTCATACATACCTTGAGAATAATGCAACACCTAGACCATAAGTCACATTCATGCATACCTTGAGAATAATGAAACACCTGGACCATAAGTCACATTCATACATACCTTGAGAATAATGCAACAAGTAGACCATAAGTCACATTCATACATACCTTGAGAATAATGCAACACCTAGACCATAAGTCACATTCATACATACCTTGAGAATAATGCAACATCTAGACCATAAGTCACATTCATGCATACCTTGAGAATAATGCAACACCTAGACCATAAGTCACATTCATACATACCTTGAGAATAATGCAACACCTAGACCATAAGTCACATTCATACATACCTTGAGAATAATGCAACATCTAGACCATAAGTCACATTCATACATACCTTGAGAATAATGCAACACCTAGACCATAAGTCACATTCATACATACCTTGAGAATAATGAAACACCTGGACCATAAGTCAAATTCATACATACCTTGAGAATAATGCAACAAGTAGACCATAAGTCACATTCATACATACCTTGAGAATAATGCAACACCTAGACCATAAGTCACATTCATACATACCTTGAGAATAATGCAACATCTAGACCATAAGTCACATTCATGCATACCTTGAGAATAATGCAACACCTAGACCATAAGTCACATTCATACATACCTTGAGAATAATGCAACATCTAGATCATAAGTTACATTCATACATACCTTAAGGATAATGCAACACCTAGACCATAAGTCACATTCATCCATACCTTGAGAATAATGCAAGCCATAAACCATAAGTCACATTCATCCATACCTTGAGAATAATGCAACACCTAGACCATAAGTCACATTCATGCATACCTTGAGAATAATGCAAAACCTAGACCATAAGTCACATTCATGCATACCTTGAGAATAATGCAAGCCATAAACCATAAGTCACATTCATACATACCTTGAGAATAATGCAACACCTAGACCATAAGTCACATTCATACATACCTTGAGAATAACGCAACACGTAGACCATAAGTCACATTCATGCATACCTTGAGAATAATGCAACATCTAGACCATAAGTCACATTCATACTCACCTTCAGAATTACAGCCGGAAGTTCTATTTCCACTTCCGGAACAGTTTCCCCGCGCTCCCGGACATCGATTTTTTTCTCTGCGACGAGATTGTCTAAGTAGGTCATTGTTTCCCCCTGGTTGCTGAACACATGTTCGTTGTCCTGCCCTCCGTTCTTGACCCTGACCTTAAACGTGGACCCATACCGTAGCTTGCAAATGCTTGAAGTACAACTTAGGGTGGCTTTGGGCAAGACTTCCATGCCCAGCAGCAAATTCAGGAGGGTACTTTTACCCGCGCTTGTCTGTCCTGGAGGAAATAAACTTGTTTATTTGTTTGTTTGTTTATTTGTTTGTTTGTTGTTTGAAGCCGCACTCAACAATATTAGAGCTATATGACGCCAGTCTGTAAATAATTGAGTCTGCACAAGACAAATTCAGTGATGATATTGAGAACAATGATCCACGCCATTAAGGTAACATGCCTCGCAATCAACCAAGTCACCGAGCCTGACCACCCCATTACTAGCCTTTTACGACATGCACAGGTTGCTGGGGGACCTTCCTCTTATAACCAGGAGTCCCTTAGAGGCTACAGTTTATTTGTTTGTTGTTTGTTGTTTAAAACCGCACTCAGCAATATTCAAGCTTTATGACGGCGGTCTGTAAATCATCTATTCTGGACCAGACAATCCAGTGACTGGCATCATGACCATCGATCCACGCAATTGGGATCGATGACATGCATCATCAACCAAGTCAGCGATACTGACCACCCGATCCCGTTAGTCGCCTCTTACGACAAGCACAGTCGCCTTTTACGGCGAACATGGGTTGCTGAAGACCTATTCTACCCCGAATTTTCACGGGTCTCTAGGGGCTACAGAGAAGGATACCATCAGCGTGACACTCACCTGCTATCACTATGTTGCATTCGCCATTCCTGAGGGACGCCAAGTGGTCCCGGAGTTCCTGTGGCAAATCGTCCGAGATTCCACGAGATTTCAGGATGTTGGACAACAGAGGAAGACTACCCTCCATGCCGGACTGTACGCATTCCAGGATATTGCAAATGGCGTCTCTGGTCTGGCGACATTCCGTACGAAGGTTTTCGTGGCGAAGAGGGTCCTGTTAACAAAATCATGTGAAATAACAACATGTGCATTTGTGGTCATGTCTGAACAGACTAAAGATTAAACGCTCAACTAGTTCCCCCAAAAGCACGTCATCCATCACTCAGAGAGAGCCACACGCAGAAACGGAATAATCAGATATCCAGATATTGTTTTGAGCCATTGAGTATTTACTCACAAGTTATAATTCACATTGTTTGCTTGTTTGTTTGTTGTTTGAAGCCGCACGTAACAATATTCCAGCCACATGACGCCAGTCTGTACATAACTGAGTCTGCACAAGACAATCAAGTTATTGATATCGAGAACAACGATCACGCCTTGAGGGTACGATGCCTCTCAATCAACCAAGTCACCGAGCCTGACCACCCAATCCATAACTCGCCTTCTACGACATGCACGGGTTGCTGGAGACCTTCCTATTATAACCAGGAGTCCCTTGGGGGCTACAGCTTGTTTGTTTGTTGTTTAACGCCGCAATCAGCAATATTCCAGCTATATAAACGCGGTCTGTAAATCATCGAATCTGAACCAGAAAATCCAGTGACTTACATCATAAACATCGATCTACGCAATTGGGATGCGATAACATTCATCGACCAAGTCAGCGGGCCTGACCTCCGGATCCCGTTAGTCGCCTCTTACGACAAGAATTGCCCCAAGTTTGTATTATATCACATAGACTCACAACAGCGATATACATGACTGGATAACAATAAACAAGACGTAGTGCTTTTTAATGCATTATTCACAGCAGTAGAGTTTATGTATGTGTGATACCTGCATTCGATCAGTAAATAATTATCTGTCAAGGAATACAGAAGTGCAAGTTGAAACAGCTACATTGGGCATTAACACAGTGGTGTTATACTATTAGGGTTGTTATTGCGTGTTTGAACGCCAGTAACTCAAAAGTTTTTGGTTCATGTTGATATATCTATTATAGCTCTGAATAACTGTGTAATAACTCATGTAGCGTGAACAAAACAGGAATTGTCTTGAAAATATAACTTATCGGACAGGATAAACAAAATCCAGTAAAAAAAAAAATATTTTATTTTTGTCAATAAATGTCCGTTAGTTTTATTAACACAAATGCATGTGGCACAAACATAACGACTATTACAAATCTGTCTGGAAAATGTCCTTGCAATACAAAATCAAATAGTGATGGCGGTAGCAGATATAACTTATGAAGGGTTAAGAGTTAGGATGTAGTCGGGAAAAACAATATCCTTTCAGCAGAAATTTCTTATTAATTATGGTAAGCGTTTCGTTCTTTTATTTAAGAGCGAAGCACAAAGGTCTGTTTTCACCAAGATCAATGATTAATTCCATAGGACACACACACACACACACACACACACACACACACACACACACACACACACACACACACACACACACACACACGCACACACACACACACACACACGACGGAACGTGACGCTGTTAACCAACCAATCAGATATACCTTGAAACAGGAAGCGTTAACCTTCAAAGTCGATATACGGGTGGGGAATATTACGAGCCATTACAGCAAATCTAGTCTATAAACTCCCCGATATGGCAGTCAACTGACTGGCACATATTGTCCACATGAGTCACTAAGAGTGGGTAGACCTTTTAATTGTCTGTTTACAGGCTTGCACACGGTCAAAACATATTCCGGCCTAAATACTATGCAAATGTCAATACAATCTATTCTTGATATGATAATACAAAAATCAGCGTTATAGTTGAACGTGGTCTCCTATACCAGCATACGACTAAAGAAACAGGTGTTGAAAGCGCATAGCTTTGTACATGAGTGACGGATTTCAAAAGTTGGGCGGAACGTGACGCTGTTAACCAACCAATCAGATATACCTTGAAACAGGAAGCGTTACCCTTCAAAGTCGATATACGGGTGGGGAATATTACGAGCCATTACAGCAAATCTAGTCTATAAACTCCCCGATATCCTTGTTCAATGTTAAAACATTCGGAGATAAGAACCAGAGGGGTAGAGGGGTGCGCCACACCCTTTTTCTTAAACGGACTAATTATTTACGTTCGAAAACGGTATAAGTGGTCGGGGGACTAAAGGTAAACGCATGACTATACTATCACCTATTTTGTTGGTGGGGAGTTGGGGTAGCTTTGGGGTCAAAGCTCTCGCTCGTCCCGCCGATGATCCGAGTTCGATTCCCCTAATGGGTACAATGTGTGCAGCCAATTTCTGGTGTCAGCCGCCTTGATATTGCTGGAATATTGCTAAAAGCGGCGTAAAACCATATTCACGCACTATCACGTTGGTGGTATATTAATAGCTGAATTACTTGATTTGTCAACGCGAATCGTCAAATCACATAATGCATCCCTCCTTTCCAAAATCTGTCTCCGAACTTGTTGCTGGCTTTTGAGAGACGACTTATTGAATACCGGGTGGTCATAATGTGTGACCTGTTTGAGCTTGTGTCATGTTACCCCGACAGCGAAGATCGTGCTCGTAATATACACTACCGGATTGCCTTGCCCATATTCGTTAAGTTAAAGACCACGGCGTTTGAGTTTGAATATTGCATAAACATTCACTGGCTGACTAACTGAGTGACCGACTGCCATTTTAATGAATATCTATCTGTTCTCATTGATAGTACTAAATATGGTCTCTTTAATCAGTACCGATTTAACTCTCTCTCTCTCTCTCTCTCTCTCTCTCTCTCTCTCTCTCTCTCTCTCTCTCTCTCTCTCTCTCTCTCTCTCTCTCTCTCTCTCTCTCTCTCTCTCTCTCTCTCTCTCTCTCTTAATTCCCCGATGTTGTTTTCAAGTTGTTTTTAATACATGGACATAAATCCTCGACAGATGGTGACGCTTACTTAGAAATGGGTAGCCCGATCTCGAAAAGTATATAGTTTACGGTTACCTTGTAACTGATATCATGAGGTCATGACCTTGCATACAAATTACCCACGAGGCAAAGCGACAGATTGTGTTATGTCAGTAGAATGTTTGAAAGTCACTATACCATGAGCACGATAAGCGATTTAGAAAGTTTGCCTCTTTCCTGTTTATTGAGATTGATGATACCCTTTACAATTATTAATCCCTACATTTATATTATAAATCACATTGTTCATTAAGCGCTATTCAATATTAGTAAACTATATTTATGCTTCCTTAATAAACATTATCACAAGGTATTAAATAATATGATTTCTAAGATTTCGAAATGCGTCAGGAACCTTTTTAGGCCTATTACGTTTTAACCGTGACACTTATTCAAGTAATCTCGATCCTGTTGCTAACACAATATGCAGAGACTGTCTCATGTTCTATTGTTGTTCTTGTTGTTGTTTGGGGGCACGGGTGGCCCAGTCGTCTAAGGCGCCGCAAGTCGCTGTGCAGAGTTGCGTCCCTTGGGCACGCCAGAAACCTATGACTGTGGGTTCGAATCCCGTTTCGCACCGATTATGTTTCTAGGTTTGTCAGCACCATACCCGTGCTCGTGGGTTTCACTGAAGTGGTAAACGTCTCAGACCTGCATAACTTCGGGCTTACCTCCCACATTAAGCTGACACGCCGCGATATAACGGGAATACTGTTTAAAGCGGCGTTAAACCAAACTCACTCACTCTTGTTGTTGTTGCTAATGTAAGGCGTGAATATTAATTGGTCTACCGACCGTAAAAAAAGATAGCAGTAAAATATATTATTCTCAATTAAGAGGTTGTTTACTACTGTCGAGTCTGAGAACCACATTTAGCAATTAAATATATCACAAATTGTTTTCATGCCTGTCCCGTAAAAAGATAAACCCTCCGCGACACACCAAACGTGCACATAAATATGAGTTTTTATAAAAATGTTTTTTTTTAAATACCTACCGACCATGTTTTCACACACATCATTTAGAATGTCTCTAAACCAGTGACACTATTATGTATTTTAGAGAAATATATCAATAGAATCTTACAGGAATAATAAAGAAAAGACTGTTCTCATAATTTGAATATTATTCCACATTTATGAAACTTAGGTTTGGCGGGTCTGTGAACCAACAAACGCCTAAGAAACATGTTGATAAGCCGAAGTTAATATTGTATAGCCAGTTCTCCTAGTATGTCAACTGGACTATTTTTTTTATTGCTCCAATTTTGATATAAAAAAATATTATTTGTACACAAAACTATTCTCATGTGTCAAGTGTACATTTAAATAAATTGACATATTATTATCCTCTCATAGTTGAGTAGTATACTCGCTCTGAAACGAGTATGTATAATTGACAATGCCTACTACGTCGTTAAGCTAGAATGATCACATATTACAAATAACTTGATTTCACTTCAGGAGACAAAACACCGTGAATTGTACATTTATCACCGAATCCGAAAGTATATTTCAACACACATGTTTTTTCATGTCATAATTGAAGCTATCTCTGCATTTCCAATTGTAATGTTAATAATAATAATCAGTGAACGATCTCCCCTATCAAACACAATTATTTGTTGCTCTTCAGCAATGAATTGAAACCGCTGAAGACAAAGCCACTATCTGCTGAGCACGAACGTGTACGTCTTGACATCACGTCGCTATATTCATTATCAGGCCTTTCTTAGAAACCCGAACACTCTCATTCAATGGAAAATACCAATAAAGGGTTTACACTTACCAACAGGTGTTTGTGTTTTCCGGTAATCTTGTTTTTGTGTAAAACAAGTCTCTCTTTCAGGTCCTCGCAGGTGTCACATCCTTCCAAGGAAGCCCCGATCTTGTCCGCTATGGACAAAATATCGTCGATACTGTCGACATTCTCCACATCAATATTTCTCAAAGTTTCGTCGTTCATATTGCAGGTTGTTCACTTCCAAGTTACTACATAAATGTTCAGTCTGAATGAAAACATAAGCAAATTGTTGGCCAGTCAATCTCTACCTATCGTCTGCTTGTCGCATGACCGGAAGTCGTCTGCTAATGTTTCAGTTGAGGCGGTTAACAATCATTTCCGAATGTTCTCGAAACGTAAAGCTGTTAAGTTCTGAAAAACAAACAGGATATGTAAGATTATATGAACCCAACAACAACACCTGACCAACGATGTTTAAAGTTAATTGCAACACACGCCCGTGCATACAACATGTACAAACCCACATTACACGTCTGCAACTTACCTCGACATGAAGACACGCATGACTGTCGTTATATCTGCGCAAGGGTTCTCGTTATATGCTAATGCTTTCACAGAAGACCACGCACTAGACTTACCCGATACGTAAATAGGTCTAGCTACCCAACCAGGAAGATACCTTGTTGGGCGAGAGGACAATGGTAGGCATATCGGACTACGCACTGTAATCCGTTCTAGACGAAACGGGTGTTCAGAAAATACCATCAAAGCAGACGACTCAACGAGTGTGGAATTATTTCGGTGAGCTGAACAACTGTCCTACAAAGCTATATGCTTTCCAGTGTCCCATTACTATACTGTGCATATTCTGCGTTTATGGATCTTGGACACAGCTGACTGTCAGTTGGATAACTAACACTTACTAACTAAACTTGTGATTCAGTGATTTAAAAAGATGGTTGGACAACTTTTAAACGCGTCTTGCTTGTGAGTGGAATTGAGAAGCTTGGTGTATTGAGGTAACCTATTCATTGATTAAACGGGTTAATTATGAGTAGCAAAGCATTTCGCGTTGAAAGGTTGGAACATGTGGAGAAGATTCCCGATCTTCTGACAGCGATACGTGTCATGGACGAACTGCAAATCCCCAGAGGGAAGTGGTTTAACCTCCAGGAGGGGAAACGCTTGATAGCAGAATATTTCCTCAAAAATGAGAAGAGAGTGAACAGTTTCTACAAATGGAAGGTATGATATTTTCTGATTTTACGTATTAACTCTCTTCTACTTCCGTTTGTCATCTTCTCTGCTCAGGTAGTTGAATACGCGGGTTGTTTTGGTTACCTACGCTGACCGACGAGCACATCACCAACGACTCATATTTTGTCATGCGTATCATTGTCATTGTTACTACGATCATTGACGTTTTCATCATCAGGCATTTGGGGGCAGGGGTGGTCCAGTCGAATGAGGCGGTGCAGTTCGACGTGCAGAGTTGCGGCGACCTAGAAACGTATGATCGTGTGTTCGAATCCCAGATTCTAGGTTTGTCAGCACCATACCCGTTGTCGTGGGTCGCACCAAAGTGGTAAACGACTGAGACCTGCATCACTTCGGCCTTTCCTCCCACATTAAGCTGAGACGACGTGATATAACTGGAATACTGTTCAAGGGACAAACCGTTGTTTCACCTGAGTAACTGTTGAATTAAATGTCTTACCGTGTTAATTATTTATTTGAACAGTACTGTTCGTTTTGAAGTGACATATATCAATATATCAATTATTTTTTTAAAGATTTTTTTTATCCTTCGGGCCCACTTAACAAAGCGATCTCAATTCTACGACAATCGTAAGTCTATATTAAAATATGAGAGTTCATCCTAGCGCTGAGATCGCTTTAAACAAGTCAACCCTGGTCATCATTGCGGAGTCTCTTCGTGAGTTTCAAGACCAAAGTCAACAACTCCCATCGTCCTCAAAAGCTTCAGTCGGTAGTCCCTCCAGTCGTCTGAGGCGCCGGAAGTCGCTGTGCAGAGTTTCCTCCCTTGGCCGTACCAAGATCCGCTGATTGTCGGTTCCAGTTCCAATTTCGTAATGATCATGATCCTTGGATTTCAAATAGAAATAAACGTCTACGAAGACACGCCGTGTCACACCGGGTGCCTTTAAGTGCATATACTTCTCAAAAGACTTCTTTTGAATAGTATATATGGAATAACCGCTAGCTGGACAAGACAAGTTGAAATATTCACTATCGCTTCATTATCGCCTTCAGCATACCTTGTGCCTACCTTCAATAAAGCAATACATATTCATTCAAATACATACGTGTACACTGGGCCGACCTGAAAGCTCTCAATCACACGTGCAACCAACCTTTTCTGGTGTGGAGTATTCACATAGCGTAACTAACGAAGACACACACGAACTACTTTGCCGTCATTCAGATATCAATAAAACATTGAAAGCCTATTTGAATAGATTTAAACTTAACTTATATAAGAAAGGGGGGCATTCAAAAACGTAATTCAAGTAAGAGCATGTGAAGTTTTAGCGATGTGCCACCAAGGGCCCGTCCCACTATATGTTGTCATGTGAGGATTCGAACCTGTTGTTTAATATGAGCGAACGTTTTACCAACAGGACCAAACCGTTCCCGAGGTGGTTCAAGATGGTTGGATCAAAAGTTATTAAAGTAAATTAAGAAACAGATAAAGCTAGCTGTATATTTAAAGGCTGTAGAAGATACTTTTGATACAACCCCTTGCACGATCTACTGGTAATGCAAGCATTGTGTTACGACAACAGCCGAATAAGGTTGAACGCAGTATAGAAGCTGACTCAAGCAGGTAATTATATCATGACACACCTGTATCGAGGTATGGATGTACATATGTCAAATATGATTAATAAGTAGGACGCGGGAGTGTCAAAATGACATAGAGGCCAAGGCTACAATCACGTCTTATATGATATTGAGTGAGTGGGTAAGTTGGGTTTTATTCCCATTTTAGCACATTTCTAGCAATTTCATGGCGCGGGGACTCAAGAATTTGGCTTCACACTTTGTACTCGTGCACTCATTCAACATATGCAAACTGGACCTGAATTTTCTCCGTTATTGTCTGAAAGAATGCATAATATATTTCACAAATCTTCAAAGCCAAAAAAAAGACGTGCGTAACTACGCGAAACCAGTTTTACAGGTTTAGTGTTGTACAATAGCCACCATTTTTCCAATTATAAAAAATAAATGATTCACTAAACACGATAAGCTTCATTTACCGCTGAATGTATGATCCAGTAAATGATGCTGTATTTGCAATATGACAACAGAGGGAATTTGACCTTGACGAGTTACTTCCCGGTCTACCGATGACGCTGTTGAATACGTAGAGAGTCTAAGACCTGGCTTTCTCCAATGGTTGCGACGGGTTCTTGGTCGATCACGTGTCCTTCATTGTTGTCCCTTTTCACGACTGTGTGTCCCAAGGATGTATCTTTGGCAAATTAAACACGGGAGTGTCATGTGATACCTTGTCATGTCTCATACCGAGATGTTGCTTCATGTACCAACATGGAAATGTTTGGTCAGATCTTTGAAATTGTGACAGTTGCGGTAGACCTTAGCTAGCGGACCATTTCATATTTTTGGGAGCCTGGTATGTTGTATCGAGATAATATTTTTTTATTTACTATGAGCCTGCATTTTTAAGAAGTACATCTTGCAGCAATGTAATTTTTGCGGCTGGCAATTTCTACATTTTTTCTACAGTCTGAAGCATAATTATATTTTTCAAGAATATTCGGGGACCATTTACTTTTTCGATACAATTCCCTACCTCGTCACCCACTCTATTATTAACCAATCAGGAAACAGTAGTCCGCCAGTGGGCGTGGTC